TTTTAGTTTTCAACAGAAATAATGGAAAACAGTAACAAGATGCCAGCCAGAGAGGCAGGGCAGGAATGGGGTGGAAGTGCGAAGGCCACGTTCTGCTCCGAAGGCTCGCGCACCTCAGTACATCATTGTCCTTCAAGAGCATCAGGCCCTGGAAGGCTGGTTTCTGGCTTGTGGAGAGCAAACCAACCACCAACAACCCGTTCTTCCCGAACGCCACTAATGCCAACATCCACAGAGCCCTCATAGTACCATAAAAGAATGATTTTGTGTGATCTAAACTGAGGTTTACTACTATTTGGTTCTCTTCCTTTCTTCAAAGTCTGATTATAAAACCCCTGAGCCAGGCACAGTGGCTCACGCCTGTAATCCCAGCACTCTGGGAGGCCGAGGTGGGTGGATCACTCAAGGTCAGGAGTTCAAAACCAGCCTGAGGAAGAATGAGACCCCGTCTCTACTAAAAATAGAAACAAATTAATTGGACAACTAAAAATATATAGAAAAAATTACCCAGGCATGGTGGCGCATGCCTGTAGTCCCAGCTACTCGGGAGGTTGAGGCAGGAGGATCACTTGAGCCCAGGAGTTTGAGGTTGCTGTGAGCTAGGCTGACTCCACGGCACTCTAGCCCAGGCAACAGAGTGAGACTCTGTCTAAAAAAAAAAAACCACCTGAAACAGTTCTTGATTTCTTTTTTCTTTGCAATACCTATAGAATATGTCTAAGCCTTTTAAATTTTTAACATGAAAATATGTCAAAACTTCTGTGAGGTTTGTTTGTAAAGCCATTAGTTTAAAGCCAGCTAAATCCCTGCACAGTCCAGTTCAGAGGCACCCAGTGAACCCTCTAAACCTTGCCAAGGTCTAATGAGTCTCTGTTTCCTTCTCCACTATTTGCAGAAATCTTTGAGGGGTAGGGGTTAAAAGAAGTGGCTTGGCAATCTTAATATGCATCAGAAGAGGCCAGATTAAAGAAATTTTGGCTATTTGATAGCATTTTACACCACACAGCCTTAAAAATGTTTTTTTTCCCCACTGAACGGAAGCACTGCATGGGACACATTACTAGAGAACTAGGTGAGGTGCAGAAAACGTCAACAGTGAGAAAGCAAATGTACACATTTAAACATACGTCTGTGAATCTGCTTAAGTGTGTTATGGATGCACCAGAGAGCTAAACATGCTTCCCTCTGGAAAGGGGGAAGAAGACCTAACATTTAATATCCAGAAATATTTTACCATATGCATTAGCAGATCCTTTTAAATAAACATTAGACCCATTAAAACTTGTCTCTCCTTGTTGAGTGATTGCAATGAATGATTCTGCTTATAAACTCCACTGTTATACTTTAATACAAAATAGATGTACACTTATGACCCAAAAAAGGCCAACAGCTGAATAAAGGTCAGGGAAATTTATTTCCTGCAATGTTAAAACTATCTTAGTAACAGCTAAGTGTCTCTTAAATCCAAGTAATGATTTTGAATGCCTCACATTTCAAATCTATTAGAACCTTTTTGTTTTTCAAAAAAAAAAAACCAAAAAACTGATGTTAGCTATGAGACCTGATTTTCAAGGAAGTGGATGGATACACCTGTAACCTGAACCCCTTTCTAGGATGAGGCAGAATGTGCTCCCAACCTGTCTGTTCAAATCAAACTGATTGATACATGGAAGACTGAGAGACTAAAAATGAAACAGAACTGAGAACAGAATTCACTGTCATTTCTCATATGACAGTGAATTTAACAGTCATTAAATCCTACTTGCATATTAATTCCTATTTCTCAACTTTAAAATAAAATTTTGTAGGCAGAAGTTTTATGACAGACTTTTCATAAATTTTAAAATTTAATTCTAAGAGAAGTTAGCTTTGGGATAAAGATCAATGCTCCTGAAGAAATTAACTAAATTTAGAGTATGACTAACCTGTCATAATGAAGAAAAATTTTCCCTATTTTCCTGTAGTGAAGTTTTTTCAACACATTAAACTATAGATACCCTTAATAAAGTAACATGAAAACTACAGTCAAAACTCAATACTAGAAGATGACACAGGAGAAAACCTGGATGATCTTGGGTTTGACGATGGCTTTTTAGATGTAATATTAACATCAAAAGGCACAATCCATGAGAGAAATAATTTATAAGCTAGACTTCATTAAAATTAAAAACTGCTGGGGGCAGGGGGGCGGGTATATACATACATAATGAGTGAGATGTGCACCATCTAGGGGATGGTCATGATGGAGACTCAGACTTTTGGGGGGAGGGGGGGAAATGGGCATTTATTGAAACCTTAAAATCTGTACCCCCATGATATGCCGAAATAAAACAAACAAACAAACAAACAAACAAAAAAAAAAACAAACTGCTGAGAAAGACTGTGCAAAGAATAAAAAGACAAGCCAGAGACTAGGAGAAAATCTTTGTAAAACACATGCACATAAAGGGCCGGTGTCCAAAATACAAACAACTCTTAAAATTCAACAGCAAGAAATTGAACCGCCTGGTTGAACACGGGGCCCAAGGTCTGAACAGACGCTGCACCAGGGAGATGCACAGGCAAAACACACAGGAAACTGCATAATCGCGGAAAAGCAAACAAGACAACAATGGACCCAGTCAGGACTAGAGCAAGCTGGCTCAGGTGGCTCAACGTCGACATAACCAAGTTTTCAGCCACAAGCGACCCCCAGGGGGATGTCCCAGCACAAACACAGCCACTGTGGAAGATAGCTTGGCGGTTTCTTAGGAAACTAATAAGGCTTTACTGTGTGATCCAGCAACTGCGCTGCTTGGTATTCACACAGATGAGCTGAAAACTTATGTCCCCACAAAAACCCACCCATTGGGAGGCCGAGGCGGGTGGATTGCTCAAGGTCAGGAGTTCGAAACCAGCCTGAGCGAGACCCCGTCTCTACCAAAAATAGAAATAAATTAATTGACCAACTAAAAATATATATACAAAAAATTAGCCGGGCATGGTGGCGCATGCCTGTAGTCCCAGCTACTCGGGAGGCTGAGGCAGTAGGATCGCTGAGCCAGGCTAATGCCACGGCACTCACTCTAGCCTGGGCAACAAAGTGAGACTCTGTCTCAAAAAAAAAAAAAAACCCACCAATGGACATTTCCGGCAGCTTTGTTCACAGTGGCCAAAGCTTGGAAGCCACCAGATGCCCTTCAGCAGGTGACCGTATAAACTGTGGTACACCAGACAGGGGAAGCCTGTCTCAGTGTAACAGGAAGTGGGCTCTCAAGCCATGAAAACACATGGAGGAAACTTAAATGCATATTACTAAGTCGAAAAAGCCCGTCTGAAAGGCTGCACATGCTGTAGCCAACTGTGACATTCTGGAAAAGGCAAAATATGGAGACAGTAGAGAGGTCGGTGGGTGCTGGGGTAGGCAGGGAGGGAGGGAGGAGCAGGTGGAGCACGGACAGTTTTTAGGGCAGTGAACTGTTCTGTGATAACACAGTGGTGGACACAGGTCATTGTATGTTTGTCCAAACCCACAGAATGTAAAATATCAAGCGTGAAGCTTACAGTCAACTGCGGATTCTGGGTGACAATGTGCCAAGGGTGGTCCACAGACTGTAAGAAACACACAGAGGGGGTGGGTGGGGGGATGTTGGCAGTGGGGAGGAGGGACATGGTGGGAATCTCTATACTCTCCCCAGAAATTTGCTGGGTACCTAAAACTGGATACCTAAAAAATAAAGGCTATTAAAATAAAGTTTGTTTCTTTTTAAAGCACACACAGAAAGGGTATAGATGGCAATTCTGTAAACAGAAGACCAGGCAAAGGGCCTCGGCAAATGTGTTGAGGATGATTGATACAGGTGAGAGATACAACACATGGTGTCAATCTCCTAGTCTTCCTACTGTTTGGTATGATAGAGATTTTTCAAAATAAAAACTTAACAGAAAAAAATGTGTTTTTTAGGATTCATTAGCAGACAAGGGGACAGAGCATAGGAAGGCTCCATCTACAATTTTCAAGAGTCCACCCAGAAACAATGACACTTCCCACCTTTGACCAACATTAATTATTGACAGCTCCTTCAGTTAACTCTGTGACCACACATAAATTCCGCCATGATATTAAGGTAGTTGCTATTAAGAGTAACCATGAAATTTTGAGATTTAAAGAATAAAAGGTAGCTAAGCACTAATACCATCAAAAAGTAATTTCTCAAAGACAAGTTTGCATAGTAACCATATTTAAATGCTTAAGGTGATCAACTCCAATTTCTGTGATTTGAGAACTGCATTTAACTCCTATAAGAAACGTCTATCAAGATGAAACGACTTCAGTACCTAAGAGAAATCCTTTTTGCTCCAACTGGGGAACAAACAATATCTTAGAAGACAGAGAAGAGATTATTACCTTCTACACAGATTTAACAGCAGCAGGAGAAAGCTGCTAAACATTTAACAAAAAAATAAATTTTATGACCCGCGTTTACAAAAAAGGCTGGATTTCTGACCTAAATTTCATTGCACATGAAAAGGAATATTGCGTTGGGAAAGGGGAAGGGTTGGCATACATAACGCAGACAGGACCCACCTGGGAGTCTTCCTAATTAAAAAATTCTGGACATACCAAACATATCTCTACACTTGTTGGCCGATGCCTTGCAGTTTTCTGTATAAAAGACTCCTGCCTTTTCCCCCAGAAAATCAAAGGCTTAAAAAAAAGGAAATACCGGTTATGCAAACAAATGTTTAGCCCACTTAACATTTTGCTGCTGTCATCAGGAGCGTCTTGGGCACCTACAGGCCGTCGCAGTGCCGGGATTCGGGCCTTCGCCGCGGCGGCCTGGGAGCACCTGGCGGGCGGCGCCCCCGGCGACCGGCGCCCCCGCAGCCGGCCTGGCTGCCCCGCCTGCCAACTGGGGGGTCCACACCGGCCCGACCGCAAAGCCCCGACGAGCCTCCGCGCAAGTTCTGACTCTGCACTCCGCCCTCACGGGCCGCGCCCCGACCTGCGCGCCCCTCACCTGTGCCGGGGCGGGGACGGTGGGCGGCGGCGCCCCCCGCAGGCCGTCCTCCTCCTCCGGGGGCTCGTCCAGAAGCACCCGGCTCCGGCTCGGCTTCCACATGCTCCGCGTCCCTCCTCGCCGCCCGGCGGTCGGCTGCGGCTCCTGCGGGACACCGGCCCAGTGGGTCCGGAGGGGCCGGGCGGCGGGCGGGGCGCCCTCCCACACCAGCCCCGCCCCCAGGACCACAGCACCCCCCGCCCGCCCACCCCGCCCCTCCTCCCAGCGCGGTCCCCGCCCCTGCCGAGCCCTGCCGGACGCCGCGCTCGCCCCGGCGGCCGGGCGTCCGGGCCCTCACGGCGCCCGACTCACCCGCTCGGCTGCCCCGCCCCCGGGACGCCCCTCCCCCGCGCTCCCTCCCGGGCCAGTGGGCGTGGCCAGTCCGCCCGGGTCGCCGAGGCAACGGCCGGGCGGCCAGTGCGCATGCCCGCCCTCGCTGCCCGGCGCGGAGGGCACACCCGGTGGGCTGGGGGCGGGGCGAGGACGGCGGGGAGGAGCTGGCCCCGCGGGCTGCGAGCTGCGGGGCGCAGGGCCAGGGTCGCCGCCCGGACCGGCCGGGCCGTGTCCGAGTCAGCAGAGGACGGGGAGGGAGGCTGTGGTTGTCTGAGGAGGTCCCGAGAGGCCCCCGGCCCGCAGGTGCGCGGTGCTGCGGTTCCCAGCCAGGAGCCGCGCACCCCCTCTGGGCGCGGGGTGAGGGCGTTTTTCGGGACGGTCACGAGCTTGGAGTGATAGGAGCAGAAGGGGCGCCCCACACCCTGCGGGGGACGCACCGACCGTTTCCTGTCGCAGAAAGGAGCAGGCGCTGGCAGCCGAGGACGGCGCGGCGGCGCGAGGTGACTGCCGTCGGAGCCGGAGCCTGCGGCGACCCGCGGGGTGCGGACGGCGCAGACGCTGGCGGCGTTCGCTGGCGTCGGCGGGAGTTTGGGGCGCACGCCTCCTGCTCCGCAGTCCGCTTCCTCAGAGGAACTGCGCGCTGCGTGTTGCTCATAGTTTCACACCAGATACATGTGTGTGCATTGCTTGAGTGATTTAAAAATACATTTTTAAAAAGAATCCAGAACTGTAGGCTTCTGTGAGAACTTTCTAAGCTTTATAACTTTGCAACTAAAAAAAAAAAAATCAAAGGTTTTTTTTTTTTTTTTTTTTTTTTTTTTTTTGAGACAGAGTCTCACTTGTTGCCCAGGCTAGAGTGAGTGCCGTGGGGTCACCCTAACTCACAGCAACCTCAAACTCCTGGGCTCAAGCGATCCTCCTGCCTCAGCCTCCCGAGTAGCTGGGACTACAGGCATGCGCCACCATGCCCGGCTAACTTTTTTATATATATACTTTTAGTTGTCCAGCTAATTTTTGTCTACTTTTTTAGTAGAGATGGGGTCTCACTCTTGCTCAGGCTGGTCTTGAACTCCTGAGCTGAAACGATCCTCCCGTCTTGGCCCGCAGAGTGCTAGGATTACAGGGGTGAGCCTGGTGTCAAAGGTATCTTTTGGGTTACTAGGCGTAATTAGCCACAAAATTTTTAAAGGAAAAGGAGCTCCTACTGTTTTCTGGGAGCTGCGGGGGGGGGGGGGGGGGGGCGGGAGGGAAGTGGTGACTTTGCCAGAGGATTTAGGAGGGACCTCAGGCACAGAGCAGGCGGAGAAGGTTATGGTTGGGGTATATTGAATATCAACCAAGAGTACGGCGACAACGCCACCAGTCCCCACGTGTGTTTCCGGCATGTCACAAAAGGGGAGACAAAGTCCCACAGGCACACCTCCCCCCAGTGACTGCTAAACCCACCAGGCACAAACATGACAACAAGAAACCACTGCAGCCTACCAAAGACCCCCCCCCCAGTACAAGGTAGGAACTCCTTGAGGGGAGTATTTAAGAATGTTAAAAATGTATGTGTTGATAAACCCTTTTAGACAAGGTCTAAGAGGCGTGGCCTCCTGGGCTGGGACTCCAGATGCTGTGGTTTTCACCACAAACACACAGGGAATGTGTGCTCTCTGGGCTGTCAAAATAAACACTGAGAGCACAAACACTGATAAAAGTCAAAAACCACAAAAGGGGTCACAAAACAAAGCCAGGATCCAAACACAGCCCATTTAAAGCCACCACAAATAAAACAGAAAACCTACTCAGAACACTTAGACAAATAACATAGGCCCCTCTGCTAATGCAAGGACACACACCTTAGAAGGTCACCCACTCTTCTGTACTTTCAAAACAGTCATTGTAGGTTAGTTAAATTGTAAACCCCTGCAAACCCAGGGCAGCCCAGAAGGAGGTCAGACTTGCTAAGTCAAAGAGAAAACTTCTAGAATATTTTAAACAACACGTAGCTCTCTTTTGCAGAAGAGCACAGTGGGTTAGGGAATGGGCCAGCCACCTAAAGGCGTGATGCAGACAGGAGGGAAGGCAGGTAGCAGGAGAGAGGAGCAGGTGAATGTCGGTTGAGCTGCAGACATTTCTGGAATCCTGAGAACTTCCCTGAGTTCTATGGATGTGACTCAGTTCGCACACTCACTCATTCACCTGTCTGAGCTTTATAGAATTAAGTTGTCTATTGTTAACATGCATGAGAGGCACACTTCACACAATCTGGTGTCGTGTACAAATTCACTTCTGGATCTGGGAAGTTGTGGTTAAAGAATATTTCATTTACTGAGCCCTCAGTTGGAAGAAGCTATTAATATTAGACTGAATTGCCCTTATTGGCTAATTTGGCCTCTGGAAATTCACTGGTGCAGAAACTGTAATGTTTTACTTAATAAACCTCAGTGTGTCATCCCTTTCTGAATTCAAAATGCATAAGGATCATCTTAGATTTTGCCCTGGCAAAATTAATTTTAAATGAGAGTGGGGCTTTGGGTACTATATAGAACTTTCTAGCAAACAAAGCTGTTTGAAACTACTAAGTTCCTCATTCCTGGAGGTGAATAGGGAAGAGGCTAGATCTGAAGAGAGTTGTGCCTTCAGTCATGTCTCAACTTGGTGTTTTCTTTTTAATTGATATATACTATTGGTACATATTTCTGGGATACATGTGATATTTTGTTACATGCATAGAATGTGTAATGATCAAGTCAGTGTCACCTCTAATATTTATCATTTTTCTGTTTGGGGAACATTTCAAGCCTTCTCTTTTAGCTGTTTTGAAATATACAATATACTGCTGTTGACTATAGTCACCCTACTCTGCTATCAAACATTAGAACTTCTATGTGTTTGTACCCATCAACCCACCTCACTCCACCACGCCCCACCCTCCGACCTCCCCAGCCTCCGGTATCTCTCATTCTACTCTCCACCTCCATGAGATCAACATTTTTAGCTCCCACCTGAGTGAGAACAGGCAGTATTTGCTTTTCTGTGCTTGGCTTATTTCACTTAGCATAATGACCTCCAGTTCCATCCAGAGACAGATATTTGTTGGATGGTGTGATGGTCAGACATTTAATGAAGGGATTTCTATGAAATGAAAAGAAAAACCATGACTAATGGTTAGAAACCCCATTTCTGAGTCCACAGAACAGCCTGTCAGGATTTCTAGAATTAAGCTTAAAGCATTGTTAGAGAAGGGACTTCCTGGAGTGGGAATGCCTCTGGTGATGGTGCTAGTCCTCTGTGAACTCCCTGAGAGGTGACTGCAGGGATCTGCTGTGGGTGTCTCTGCAGGTGAAGTTTGTATGCAGGCAGGAGCCTGCACAGTTTCAAGGAAAGGGCAGTTTTCATTCCCAGAGATGCCAGGTCAGGGATGGGAGAAAGACTGGAAATGTTAGTTTCCTGGAAGGACTGAGAACCAAAAGGGTGCACCATAGTTTTCCACATTTCTCCACAGTCACCCCTCTTGTAGGTCAAGGATGACCAGATAACAAAGATAACAAGATTACTCTTGTTTACAAAATAATTCCAGTCTCATTAGATCTGGCTGGATTATAAGTAAAGTGTCTTAGTCTGTTTGGGCTGCTATAACAAAATACCATAAACTGGGTGTCTTATAAACAACAGAAATGTATTTCTCACAGTTCTGGAGGCTGGAAGTCCAAGATCAAGGTACCAACAGATTCCATGTCTGGTGAGGACCTGCTTCCTGTTTCACAGAGCAGGGGCCAGGCCATCTCCATGTGTGTCCTCACTGGTGGAAGGGTGAAGGAGCTCCCCTGGGCACTGATCCCATTCATGGGAGCTCCACCCCTATGTCCTAATCACCTTCTGGAGGCCTCACCTTCTAGTGTCATCACATTGGAAATTAGGATTTCAACATATGAATTTTGGGGGTACACAAACATTCAGACCATAGCATTTAGCTAGATGGGCCATTTACCATAAAGATCTTTTAAAATTTGTTTTGCTGAAACTTTTTATAAGAAATCTGACATTAGACATTTAGAAACCTTCTTGAGGCTAAGAAGTGAAGTCAGGAATTCACCACAAGACTTTGCCTGCAATACCTACAGATTGGGGTGAATTCTTCTCTTCCCAGGTCCCCAAGATATTTGGATCTGGATCTGCAAGAAAGTGACTTTCCCTTCTCACCTGCAAAGCTGAGAATGCTACAGTTTAGGTCCCGGGACAGTTTTTCCAAGGCAGCTTTGCAAGCCTTGCCTCTTCAGTCGACCTTCATTCCTCAAAGCTGTCTGGTCACATCAGACTCTATGCATGTTCTCATGTATGACATTCCAGCCAAAGCCCTGGCAATATAACCAATGTTTCTCATTGTGTCCTGTTACAGGAGAACAGGTTCTTATTGGACTCATGCAAACAACTGTATTGCAATGAAAATAAAAATATTCAATAAGAGTTTCCAAATTCTGGAGTGATCCAAAAGAGACAGAAAAGATAAATGTTTCATTTCTGTTTACAAAATATAATGACTAAGAGAAAAGAAAAAGGGGATCCTTATAGCCAGAGAATAGAACATTGAAGAACCATCGACGTTCCAAACAAAAGCCACTATCATCCTTTATCGGTTGGTTTAGTTGCATGTCACTGAACTTTGTTCTGTTTGGTTTAGGGATAGCAGCTTCAGGAACTGTCAGCTGCTCCACAGGAGTTCTGAAAATCCGATTCAGTCTAGCATGGTCTTGTGATGTTAAACAGCAGTAATGTGCTGTTTCTGGGTGTGTCTGTGAGGGCATTTCTGCAACGGATTGGCATTTGAATCACTAGACTGAGTAGGGAAGACCCCCCTTATCATGGGAGCAGGCACCATCCAATTGGCTGGGTGCCAAATAGAACAAAAAGGCAGAGGAAAGGTGAATTCTCCTCTTCTGGAGCTGAGACACCCTTCTTCTGCCCTCAGAAATCAAAACTCCAGGTTCTCTGGCCTTTGGACTCTGGGACTTGCCCCAGCAGCCCTGTGGGACTAAGCCTTGGACTAAGAGTTGTGCCATCAACTTCCTGGGCTCTGAGGCCTCTGGACTCGGACTGAGCCATGTGATTGGCCTCCCTTGGTCTCCAGCCTCCAGATCTGTGTGTGGACAAATCTCCTTTCATCTAACTCTCTACCCCAGCATTGGTTCTGTCTCTAGAGAACCCTGACTCACACAGGTCTCGAGGTTATTCAAGCACTGCCACCACAAAGCACCTGGTCTACAGCTGATTGCTAATGCTTTCGGGGAAGAATCAGAATAAAAAAGACTATCTGTGAACATCAAATGATCTAAAATGGCTGTGGCTAAAGATCTGATGGGAGTTCCTTTGACAAGAACATTTGTTTTTTTCTGTAACCAGAATCATGACTAATAGTATTATACTGGACATACATGGGCAGTGAGGGTATTAAAAAGTGCCTGTAACTTCATACAACTTCTGAAATAGTTATAATAATAACATTTACTTATACAAATGCAATCTAAGGATAGTTAAGCATTCCTTCTTATTTGACAGTGACTTTTCATGCAATTCAACATATCAAATAAACCAAATTATTGTTATTATTTATTTTTTTTATTTTTATTTTTTAGAGACAAGGTCTTGCTCAGCCA